TGGGCGGGGGGGTCGGGGTGGTTTGTTGGTAAAGTCGAGGGGAAGGTCGGAGTGGATTGTAGGAGGATGGCGGCGGGGGTCAGAGTGGGTTGTTGGTGCCGTCGAGGGGAGGACAGAGTGGGTTGTTGGAGTGGCTTGTTGGTGCCGTCGAGGGGAGGACGGAGTTTTTTAAAGAATACTAAGCTATCTTCTTCTCTCAATTTTTCCACCTCACACTAGCTACCTACATAGGACATACCTCTTGCAATCATTTTACCTCATGTCTATACAGTGTATACACTGATACCGGCAGGCTATGTCTATCTTCTCTACTCCATGCAGGGAGAAGTACCTAAACTTCTAACCCCGAGTGAGGGATGGCAGGGGGAAGGGTGAGGAAACCCAGACTCCTGCCAAGACCGGCCAGAGGCAAGCCAACTGAGCTAGGCCGGCTGCAGGCAGCCGTGGGGGATTGAACTCACGACCTCCTGAATACGACTTGCATGCTCAACCAACTGAGCTATCTCAGCTGGTAAACACCAAGCCGGCTGCAGGCAGCCGTGGGGGATTGAACTCACGACCTCCTGAATACGACTTGCATGCTCAACCAACTGAGCTAGGCCACTGGCCCTCCCTTCTTTCCTTTCTTTCTTTGTAAGCATTATTTTATTCTGTTAATCTCGTTGCATCTGGATTAGAACTCAGGTGTGTATTTCAGCAGTTCATGGGTGTACCAACTGCGCTAGGCTCGTTTTCTCCCTCTCTCCCTTTCTCCCTCTCTCCTTTCTCCCTCTCTCCTTTCTCCCTCTCCTTTCTCCCTCTCTCCTTTCTCCCTCTCTCCCTTTCTCCCTCTCCCTTTCTCCCCTTTCTCCCTTAGCACAGAGTATCAGTGACTGGCCCAGTCTCCCTATCTCCCTGAGAGAATCAGGTGTGGTGATGAGTTATATACCTAGAAGGGGTAGGATGCAGCTTTGCTTTGTGAGTATTTCCTTGGAGCAGAACTTGCGCAAGTAGTTTCTCATGATACTCCGTCTCATAAACCGTTATGCAATGATTGTCCTCCTCAGATGCATAAAAAAATGTTATTATTTTTTCCCATACAACAAGAGCCATTTTCTGTTCTCTCTGCTCACGTTAAGTGCTCCCGGCGAGGTGGTTATGATGAATTCAAGCAAAAGTTGCAGACATGGTTTGACACAATATTCCCTGCTGTCCAACAATCGTCCACGATTATCCTCTACACACATGCACATGCATGCGAGAGTCTTGTTCTGTTACTCGCCTCAGCATCAAAGTGCTCCCGAAGTCGTCAGAGGCAGCATCAAGTGCTCCCTAAGTTGTCGGAGGCAGCATGATTCTTACACACGTTGCCATATCCCGCTTTTGTCTGTCTGATCTGACTCCTCCCCATCCAGGTTGGCCTTATCTGCACACTGGCATTAGTGTTTGGGTACTACATCCTTTCTGTGGCAGGCTCCCTCGTCAGTCAGGTATGTAATAAGCAAGCAGCTTCATCAACGAGGTCCCACTAGGTTATGAGAATTGATGTGACATTCACATGCGATACGGAAGTCAAAGATGCACGCAACAATCATGCATTTGACACTACACTTGACACAACACAATGATTGAAAGAACTGTAAACTCAGATTCCGAAAAAAATGCGGATCCCCGACCGGTTTCGATCACCTCCCGATGATCGTCCTCAGGGGGGKGGGGGGGKGGGGGGGTCATCCACCTCATCATCATTCCCCCACATTGCTTCTACCACGAACCCTCCTCCTCCGTTGCATGAATGACATCCCGGAAATGCCAACAGCCTGGAAATGCCAACTGCCCCGTCAGTTCTTACCATCCCTCCAGAAAAAAAAAAAAAAAAAAACAATCCAAAGACAGTCCACTGTTCTCCCTCTCAGTCCAGCTGTGGGTGGCCCTCACTTACATTGTTCTCTTCTTTTTTTCCCTCACAATGGGCAAGCTGGCATAATTCCCCGTCTACTGAAGGCAACCGCCGAGCAAACATGTACAAGGCAATCAAAGCTCTCAACTGTTAAGCAGCCAAACTCTACATCCCCAACTCCACCAGTACAACCCAAAGCCCCGACACTGCTACCAGTGTACACCTTCATAGCACATTTCCGCATTAGGAAGTACATCCCCCTCTTCTTCTTCCTCCCAATGTTCTGTGCTGCCTGCAGGCCCCAAAACAACAAAGAAAAGAAAACAACCGCCGAGCATGCATATAGAAGAAAAGGATAACCCAGTCAAGCTCTACATCCCCAACTCCGCCAGTACAACCAACCGCAAAAAAACTGCTATTGGCCTACGCCTTCATGGCATATTTCCGGTGTGGGAAGTACATCGCCCTCTTCTTCTATCTCTCTCGGTCTTTCGCCAGCTTTCCAGGTGTCAAGCGCTGCCGAATAGCACGTGTCTTTCTTCACACGAAGATAGTATGCCATATACTTCTTCCCCTTCCTTGAACGCCTCCCTCAGAATCGCCTTCTGGGTTTGTGCCATCTCGGTCAAAACTTTTGCGATGGATTTCCTTACCCGCTTGATCTTGGACAGCTTGTTAGGAGCGCCTCCTGTCACTTTTGTCACGTGCAGAGCCGCCAGCTCTGTCTTCAGATCCTCCAACTCAAAATGAGCAAATTGCTCTTCTGATGGAGCTTGTGTACCTTCACCTTCGCCATGACGTCTCCTTCCTTCAAGGATCTCCTGCTGGTGTCTCGGAGAGGAGTCTCAGCCGCGCCTGAAAGAGAGGCAAGATAACACACAGGTCAGCTCTCTAACGCTAGCTCCCTCTTCCCCTGCTGCCGACCTGCGTTACATTATTCTATGTACTTCCAGGAGGCAAATGATCAAACCGTTGTCGGGCTACCGCGCTTTCTTTAGCGCTTGACGAGGCTGGCCTGGCAAACGGCTGGAACATGTTCAGAGGCTACATCACCAGCCGTAGCGTATTTACTCTAGAATACTGGGTGCGCTGCGCTTGATAAATATTTATTATTTTTCAACTACCGGTCACGCTCGGGATTATCTTCATGCTGGTGGAGTCTTCAGGCAGTTCGACTTCAACTTGTGTTTATCGGACTTTATTGTTGCATACTCGTCAAACACAGTCATAAGTATGGCGCAGATTCCCAGAACCGACCAGATAATACAGAGTAAATACCAATACAGCGGAAGACTTGAGATACATGGATTGACTCGGACCTGACTCAGACTGCAACGAAACGCTCACAAACATACATCGGTGGTGTGAGGCCCTGGCCTTGGATATAGAAGAAAAGGCCGGGGCAATTCTCATACACAGATGAATGGAGGGAGGAGAGACGAAGGGAGGAGGAGAGGGAAGATGACGTCAACTCGATGTTTCCAAAGATAGTATCTTGAAATGTCAGAAGTAGCGAAAATCCGAAATGTCGCGAACACAGAGTCTCACAGTGTCTCAGATATCGATCTCACAATGTCAAGGTACATCTTCAGAGGAAGATGAAATCAGATCCCAAGAGTAGTCCTCAACCTGCGGTCCCAGTGTCACTGTCTCCAATATTATCAGAACTCGTAACCATCCTTCATACTCGTAGTAGTCCCATAGGAGAACCCAGGAGTAGACTTAGAAGGCAGGAGGAGGAGAGAGAGAGAGAGAGAGAGAGAGAGAGAGAGAGAGAGAGAGTGGCAGAGGAGAAAGAGGAAGAGAAGGCAAGGCCTTGGGTAGCTAGGGCGCTGCAGCAGGCGGGCGCTGGGCCGCGGCCTGGGCCGGTGGCTGGCGCTGCTCCAACTGCTGCGCTAAGTCCTCCTCACCGCTGTGCTCGATCTCTCCTCGCTGCTCATCCCAACGCTGCTGCGCTGCGCTAATCCTGCTAACGCTGAAGCGCTGTGCTAATCCTGAAGGCTAACCTCCTGTCTACTAACCTACCGACTGAGGCTGGTACCCAGCTGATATAGTGCTGGGGCGGCCTCAGTCCTACTGAGGGCCTTCAGGTCTGGACCGTTGATCAGATCCAACAGTTCAGATCCGATTTCGGAATCTGAAAAGTGGGTGCCAAAACTGCGCCGCCGGCTGGGCCTACCGATGGACCAGTACCTGGTCTAAACAACTAGCCGTTGGGTCTGGTGGGGTCTAAACGAGGTCTACCGGACCCTAAACTGAACCGACGGTTCCTAGGCCTACCTGGACCTAGCTGGGACCGTCGTGACCTGGTACCTAGGCCTAAACTGTGCCTATTACAGAACCGACATCTTCCGGTTTGATTCCTTCTCCATCTAGCATATGCCCCAGACACAACACTTCACGCTTCGCCCATTCACACTTTTTGGGATTCAATTTCAATTTTGCCTCACGCGACTTATTAAGCACAAGTCGAAGGTGCGCGCAATGTTCTTTCAGAGTCTTGCTAAAAATCAAAATATCATCAAGATATATAACTACAAACTTATGGAGCCACTCACGAAAATGCTCATTCATCGTATGTTGGAAGGTTGCAAGTAAATTAGTAAGACCAAAGGGCAACACAATAAATTCATAATGCTCATACCTTGTGCGAAAGGCAATCTTATGTTGGTCTTCTGGCTCTACCTCAATCTGATGGTAGCCAGACTTCAAATCAATCTCAGTGAAGTACTTGCTTCCCTGAACTTTATCCAATAGATCATCGATTCTTGGTAATGGCTCGACATTTTTAACAGTTATATCATTCAATCTTCTATAGTCTATGCACATGCGGACCCCGCCATCTTTCTTTGGCACAAATAGCACTGGCGCACCATAAGGCGAGGAGCTAGGCCTTATCCATCCATTTTCCAGCATTTCATCGAGCCGGGTTCGCAGTTCATCCAATTCTTTGGGTGACATTCTATAAATCGGGCCCTTCGGAATTTGACTTCCCGGTATAATCTCAATGCAATGCTTTATAGGTCGTTCCACCACACCGCTTGGGGCCTCTGCCACATCTGCGAATTCCTTTAGTCTCTTCTCAATTTCTGGGATTTTGCTTCTTCCTTAGCTTCACCTTCTTTAACTGGGCGCACATATGCCACAAACACTTGGTCATACAAATTATGCTTTTTTATATGGCGGGCGAATGCGGGGGCACTCATACAGCAATGAGCCAAGCTGCTTTCCTACCAGATTCATGGAATAGGCGGATTTTCTTCTTTCCACCCTGTGGACTAGGGAGCCAACACTCATGATTCCTTAACTTTATATCCGGATCTGCAACTTCCCCCCAATCCATGCCTAAAAGAATGTCAAAAGGGAGACTATCTTCCACCAAGAGAGTCGGAGAGTGGAGAACGCGTTCCACCTTCCCCTCTGCTTCGAGCCGGAAGTATGTCTGAATCCCTTCAACATATCTATCTAACACAATTTCGCTACTATTCGCTAATCTACTTATCATGTGCTTATCTAACTGCTTAACCTTTAGCCCGAGACGCAGCTTTTGCAAACCTTTCTTACTTATATAGCTGCGTGTTGATCCGCTATCAACCAATCCACCTACTCTTACCTTATTAACTTCTAGATCTGCAATTATTAACTGTCCTTTTCTTTTCTTCATTTCGGTCGAGGCTTTGCGACGAGTGGCCAACTCATCACCTATGCCAACGAGGGATCCACCTAGAGAGGTACATACACTAACTACCTCTGGACAGTTAGCTAGGTGGGGACCGTCTTTCTTTTCAGTTTCTGCCAGGGGAACCTTCGGATGGGAGGATGTCTGTCTATTTACATCAGAAGTTCCTGTAGAGGCAACTGAGACCCGTACTGGTTGTTCCCTTTTGGGACCTTATAATCTGGGCAATAGGGAACAATGTGGTTGGGGTCACCACATTTAAGGCACGGGTCGACAACTTTCCTATCTTGCTAGACTTTCTCCGTAATCCCCAACTTTTCCCAAGGTCTGTCTTCCGGCAAACCAGGATGGGGTGGATATGGTTTTTCCCAATTCTCATACTATGTGCCTCTTCCTCTTCCCCATGTGAAGTTGGAACCGCGGCCACCTTGCGAGGGACCATTGCCCCTTCCACCCACGTAGTAGCTACCTTCGCCAACACCCCTCTGGGTGTCGGGTCCTCTTCCTCCATGTCCGCGGCCTCCTCTTCCTCGGCCACGGCCTCCTCTTCCTCGGCCACGCCCTCTTCCTTGTCGCCCTCTCCCGCAGGCTGCAACGGCCACGTAGTCCCCCTCCTGAACTACCGTACCGTTGGGTGCTCCCTCCAGACCATAGTCTATTTGGTCGTAGGAGAGAGTTTCGACACCTCCTTCTTCAAAGGTCAGAAGGAGGTTGTCTTTCCCAGGTATATTCCCTGAGATTGTGCGGTTCTGCCACTTCTTTCCCGCTTGCAGATCTTTCCAATAGTGGCAATAATTTGCTTCTGCCAGGAAGCCAACATGATCTAGTGCGATCTTGCTGAACTTCTCATATGCCACCCCCTCTTCTTTGGTACGGGGATACAGTTGAGTACTATGATGCCCAACCTCACGCCCGACGCGACTTCCTGATCGGAGTGGGATGTGGGCCTGGAAGTGCGAAAAGGGGTGTGCCAAGGATTTTTGGGAAAGTGGGGGTGGAGTCCGAGGTCGGAATTGAGATATCCTGTGGCAAAGTTTTAGGGGCATAGATGCAATAGGGCTAAGGGCGAGTTTCTTCCGGTCTGTTGGTGTTCTATGTCGTGCAGCATAAGGCAGATGGCATGCGCGGTGCATTCAAGGTCATCCGATCCGTCTGTTTTGGTGGTGGCGGTTTGGGGAGAGGCCCGCCCGGGATAGTTGTGTTCCCGATGAGTCGGTCCTTTGGGTGCCGGCACGTGGCATCTGTCGTCTCGCGTTTTGGTTAGGCCCTCTAGTTTCAGGGGYYCGTCGGTCGCCGCGTCGCCGACAATTTTYGCAAGGCGTGCGAGGCCAGGACGGGGCGATGGAATTCCACGGAACCACCGTGAGTTGGTGATACGGGAGRAGAAGACGGAAGGGAGGGAAACGGGTAGTGATAACGACGAAACCGGGGGATATGAAGTAGTGCGAGTTATCCGTGGTTGGATAATYGRGGCACCTCGGATSGCTGGTTGTGGCAYAGTGAAACTCCCTGGGGCACAATCGATTCTCGGTTAGGCAGGGGAATTYCGGGTATCTTTGCCTARTACATTCTCTCACCCAAGGGTCGAAGTACTCCGGATCCCAAGAGCTTGGCATCTTATCATTGCAAGGTGATGGAATCCTCCCGCACACGTCTAATTGGCAACGGGATTTACCGATGTGATATCGGAAACTCCTATCCGTTTAGGCGCGTGGGGGAAGGGAAAGTTCTCACCTACCCGATATTGAAGGTGTCAAGTTCGTCAATGGCCGCGAATCGGCGCGCGTGGATGCGTGTAGGCTGCGCAAATCAGATCGCGCTTACACGCATCCCCGCGAGGTACTCCCTTGTCTTTGGACAGACACTACTCAGTCATCTAATTACTCCGTGATCCCATACACAATCGTTCCTGAGCATGCAAGGTGCAGCAGCAATAGTAGCTCAAAAGGGGATACATAGCGATGGAAGCAGTATTGACGACTACGCAAAAATTCCTACTATGCTCATGAGTGTATCAAAACGACAAGCGAAGGCAAGTATCAGGGAAAAAGACACGCAATAGACATGACATTCATTCATCCATTCATTTGACAAAACACGCAACAAACGAAATGGAGATCAATCGCAAAACGAGTGTGGGTGGAAACCAAGCCAAGATTCCGAAAACAAAAGGAGACGGGCGAATCGCCCTGAGCCGAGATCAAAATTTATATACAAAAGCAAAGAGCGAGAAAAGACAAAGAAAACTGCAAATCCACACCCATCAACCTCAACTCCCTCTTCCTCTCTCTCTCTCGTTCCGATGTGGACAGTCCGTCGTCACGCACCAACCCACGAAGTCGTTACCCCGCTTAGTCCTCCTGCACCCGTCAGGTTCGCCCGTGCGCTACAGTCCGTCGTAGCCCCACGCGTCAACCCCGCGCATTCGGCACCAACTCGTCGGGTCGCCCAACTCCCACTTCAACTCACCTCTTACTTCGCTCATGAACCGACCCTCACTGATCGCGCTACCCCGAGCTTCCAACAGCTGGTTAAGAGAGCTATCTAATCGCGCAGCCGGAATTTATAGCGTGCATGCATTGGAAGAACACGGAATTGCAAGGACTTAGA